ACAACATTTTAGCTAAGGCTAATTCTCAATGCCTGTCCCCAGTCAGGCTTTTACACAAAACACCGTGACTGTACACAAGGCACAACAGAACAAATTACACACTAAAACATCACAGATACAAGATCAGGTCAGCTAGATTATTAATGTTCTGTAACAAAAATAAATCCTAAATAAATAATAAAGCAGTATTGGATGATTAAGGGAGGATTCTCACCCTGACAGGCCTCCTTGGGCAAAGCAAAAGTGTCAAACAGAGCACGAAACTCAGATTACAACTCTGTTGCCATCATGCTAAACACAACAAGGGTTTTAAAAAAATAAAAAAAAAGAACATTGAACTAATCTGAGCTGTGTGCCGTTGATTTGAAAGCAGGCCGATGCAAACAAGGACTATAAGAAACTCAGTATAAACCTTAAGCCTATAATGCCAAATGTATCATATTTGATACGGTTTCTGAAGTCTTTTGGATCTGAGACTTTTTGCATCATTCAGTGGTAAAAGCTTTGCTCAAACCCCTGTTGTACACATTCAGATATTCCTGATAACAGCCAGTAGAAGACTACACCAACATATATGTTTGACTTATTGCAAACTAATTTGATCAATATATTTCTGTTTTTTTTGTCTTCATATGTTGTTGAGGGGCCAAAGAAAGACTTCAGACTAAAAAAAATCCAATATTCTTCCTATTTTTCTTGGATCAGGCTTTCTATTTATTTGAACAAATCCGTGTGTGTTAAAAAAAGAACAAAAAACAACCATTTAATGAGCAAATAAGCGTTATAGGTGTCCATCAACAGGATGAATGTTTAGAGCTCTGGAGCTCCATCATTATAAGGGAGGAGCCAGAAGAGAGAAGCCGGTTTTTAAGGGCTTACCCAACCTGCATTTACTCAGGTGGACGAGGGCCAGGATGAGAAACACCTTCCCTGAGAAAAGGCCGGCCCTCGAAAGGCAGAAAACCAACACATACATCTGCGGCCTCGGGCTCCAGGAAAAGCCCTCCGGTAGAAATACTTAGCAGCAAAACAAGCCGTAGGAGTGTGGTTTAAAATGGTTTCACAACCACACACACACACACACACACACACACACAGATAAATCTCCCCACTGGTGACACTTCGATTGTAAATCCTCAAGGCTGACCGGGACTCTGCAGTGCACGGCACACGTGCACGCTCGTGCAGAGTTGGAGGGTCGTGTCCAATAGCAGGAGCTAAAGAAACCACGCAAAGCCCCCGAAAACTCAACGGCGAGTTTTAAGACTAGCTTAAAAATTTGTCAAACTGGTCAGGAAAAGCTGGTGAATACCTTAAAAAGCCCTCACAAGACGTTTAACAGACTGTTAACAACTTTTCAGAGCTGCTAGCAACTTTTCAGAGTTGTTAGCAACTTTTCAGGGTTGTTAGCAACTTTTCAGAGTTGTTAGCTACTTTTCAGAGTTGTTAGCAACTTTTCAGAGTTGTTAGCTACTTTTCAGAGTTGTTAACAACTTTTCAGAGTTGTTAGCATGCTGGCTAACACCAAATTCCCACGGATTTTGAACCCTGTAAAGACCCTGGAAGCGTTTCTTCTGCCGTTTTGTTTCAGAAGCTGAGAAACCAACTCAGTTCTGCAGGTAAAACAGGAAGGAGGAACTTTTTCTGGTCAGAATTCTCTGAACGACACCGAACCAACTCATAGCTGCTGTGTGTGTGTTCATGTGACTGCACCAACTCACACTTTTGCTGAATTTAAAAGGCCTGGTCTCGTAGTTTTAGACGAGAAATGGGGGGAGGGGAGTGCCGAGGCAGATGGGCCCCCACCCTGAGCCATGGTTCTGCTCGAGGTTTCTGCCTGTTAAAAGGAAGTTTTTCCTTGCCTGTGTCGCCTAGTGCTTGCTCATGGTGGGAATTGTTGGGTTTCTGTAATTAACTTCAGAGTAGGGTCTGACCTGCTCTGTTTGGAAAGCGCTGTGAGACAACTGTTGTTGTGATGTGGCGCTATATAAATGAAATTGAATTGAATTGAATTGATTTTAATTTTGTAACGTCATTGTCTGCACGTGTGTTTGGACTGATTTTGTATTTTGTGATTTTGTGTTGTTTGGTCTTCCTGCCTCAGGACGACAGATGTAAACTAGCAACTATGCTAGAATCTGGCTCATTTACAATCTGTATGAGATTGTTCATTAATGTGCACTGTCCTGATTAAATAAATAAATAAATAAATAAATAATAAAAATCTGACGTTGTGGCTCAGCTGACTCACGGCTCAGAACCAAAGGTCAGCGAGGAAGACCCGGCTCAATAGGTAAGTCTTTCAGGAAATGAGAATGAGCAGCTAATTATTGGAGGCAGAGCACCGTGG